CTGGGGGAAGATCAATGTTCCTGTTCAAGATGAGTTCCCATGGCATTCTTTGGATATCTTACACTTTCCCCAGAGCTGTGAAAAAGCCAGAGGATGTGAGGTGGGGTTTCATTCATTCCCTTATCTCGAACCACTCAATAGCAACAGATACTTGATGAATATCAAGCCTGGTGCCAGGTGCTAGAAGAATCAACAATTTTGTTTAAATGTATGAAAAAAAAGAAGCTTGCCAACTGTACAACCCAAATTACTAGTATTCTCAAACTGCCTGTGACATTCCTGGCAACAGAGGCCCAGATGCTAGTGTCTCCATGGTTACTTGGGGGAGGGAGAATTGCTGTGCTATGGGGTGAGGTAGCCAGGGAAGAGGAGACAGGCACCCATGTGCTCTAGGCCAGTAAAGCACCCCAGCTTGCACTGCCTCCCAGCCATGCAGGAGCTTTATCCTTCTCCAAAATCCCCTTCCAGCCTTGAACAAAAGGGAAGCCGATTAGTCAGGTTCTCTCTAGGCAGAACTGCTCCAAGCTTCTGCTCACAAGTGCAGGGTGAGAAGCTTGTTCTCAATCCCTTGGTCTATAGAGGTCATTGTGAGCACATGAGAAAGACTCCGTCTAACCATGATCCTCTTGTTAAAAATACACTTGGTTTGCGAAGTGCCTATTCATACAGGAAGTTTCCAGAAGATGTGCCTGACCACAACCAGGAAGGGCCTCCTGTTCGCTGTGTCTCGGATGCTTTCCTCTTCCTGTGCAAACTTTTCAGCTTTGTTTCAGGCACATCACTGTCTAAGGGTCAAGCACACTCTAGTGACAAGTTTAAAAGGAGAGTATCAGCACTCCAGCAGGGGCAGCAGCCTGACATCTCGGGGGGAAAATGAGGAGGTGGCAGAGGTGGGAGGCAGGAAGAAGGTCACTTTTGATGTTAGCTGTCTAGAAAGCCTTCTGGGTGGCTGGCTTTCTTCTCAGTTCTAATGGCCAAGTGCCTTAGGAAAGTCTTAGTGAACTGGTCCAGGTGTGAGACCTGGGGGACTGTTGTCAACTTGATTGGACTGAGAAGCACCTGGCAGACTGGGGCAGCTGTCCCTGTGTGTGTCTTTGAGGGCATTTCCAGACAGAATTAAGAGGGGAAGGCAAACTCCTGACTGTGGGTGGAACCTATGGCAGTCCCATAGGCTGCAGACCAAGACAGGTTAAAAAGAGAAGAAGGGCTGGGTGGTGGTGGCACACACCTTTAACCCCAGCACTCAGGAGGCAGAGGCAGGCACATCTCCCAGTTTGAGGCCAGGCTGGTCTACAAAGCCAGTTCCAGGACAGCCAGGGCTACACAGAGAAACCCTGTCTCTAAAACACACACACACACACACACACACACACACACACACACACACACACACACACACAGAGAGAGAGAGAGAGAGAGAGAGAGAGAGAGAGAGAGAGAGAGAGAGAGAGCGCTGCCCCCTAGTTCAGGCTTTGGGTCTGCTTCCTGGACAGTATTCTGTGAGCTGCTCTGACAACATGCTCTGGGACTGAAACCCTAGGAGAATGGGAAATGAGGTAAAGGCAAGGCTGTGGCTTCGATCCTAAAAGCCCATGATCTTGGTTTAAAAAACACAGTTTGTTTTTTTTTTTTCCAGTTCAAGATGCCCTTGACCTTTGCTCTCACAGTTATATTCCCTAAGACACAGGGAGGTTCAGTCAGAGTGACTAGGGGTCCTAGGGTGGTTCTAAAGACCAAAGAATGGACAAGTGTTCCATGTTACTCTGTGTGTGTGTGTATGTGTGTGTGTGTGGTGCATATGTATAGATGTGCATGCACACATGTGCATATGAAAATGCATTCACACATTAATGTGTGTCTGTTTCCTTGTATGAGCATGTATGTGTATGTGCACATGTGTATATGTGTACATTGCCTGTGTGTACACATGTATATGTATATTCAAGTGTATTCCTCTGTGTGTGTGTGTGTGTGTGTGTGTGTGTGTGTGTGTGTGTGTGTGCTGGCAGCTTGGTGGTGCAGTGAGTGCAGGATCTATGGGAGGAAGGGTTTGCTGGGGGTCTGGACAACTTCCTCTGAGGGCACACTTAGGGACAGGACTTCCCACAAAACCCCTCAGAATCTCTCTCTGCATACTCATTGATGGAGAGTCCATAAGAGTCTTCTTCCCTTGTGCATGCACAAGCAGGTAACAGGTATTCTCAGATGGAATGAGGGGAGTCTTCTGTACCCCTCCTTTCAGATTGTCCTTCACAGGAGGCAGGAAACAAAGGTCAGAATTGCAAGAACATCTCTGCAGAAAGCAAACCTTCTCCAGCGCTTCACCTGGGCTGAGTGGGGGTGAGGCTGAGGGACAGACAAGGTAGAGGAGTCGCAGGAGCAATCTCTTCACAAAAGTCAACATAGAAAATCAATTTCCTTTCCTCTGGATCTGCCCAGCGGCCTGAGGAACTGGCCTGCAGTGGCTATGGTCTAGGCGAGGCCCAGTGAAGCCTCTGTGGTGGAGGAACAGCTATCTTTCTATATTGCCTGATGTCATGTGTTCCCTTTACCCTAGCTCGTTTCCTCATTTTGCAGGATATAAAAGGACCACTAGGCTGAAGCTCCAGTTCCTCCTGATCAGAGGGAATTCCGGGTGTCATGGTTTCCAGAAGGGGAAGGCAGTCTCCCTGTGGGGTGTAATTACATCCCTGCTTTCTGCAGAAGAATAGTTTATGGCTTAAATGCTATTAATTGTAAGCCATTCTGTTTCACGGGAAGTTGTTCATTGATAACTACCCAATTAGAGTTATTTTGCAATTAGTCTATTCACAGTAAATTTACTGCAAAGGGGAGGCCAGTGCAGGAAATTAAAGCATCATGAGGCTGGTGTGCCCTTGTGTCTTAAATGCCAACCCCATTAACCAGTTTGGAGGTCCTGGGAGAGCATGCCACCTTCGCCAAGGCAGAGACAGCCAACCCTGCAGGCAGTCCCAGTGAGCTCACACCAGCTTGCAGACCTCTCAGCATGACCAGGAGAAGCATGGGAAACTCTGCGGTGTGGTGGGTGATGACTGTGGAGTGAGCTATAAGGCAAATATCTGTGTAACGAGTATCAGTGGCCAGGCGCATTTGCCGAACTGTACAGTCTTGAACCCTCTGAGATGAACGCACCACCAAGGTACAGAGAGGGCAAGCAACTTGCCCTAAGTCTCACAGCTTGTGCAGAGGAAATCCGAGATCCAAATGCAGGCACTCTAACCTCGCATCCATGATCTACATCATTGTCATAAGCTCCCTTGTTTCCCCAGATGACATCTTCCCCTCTGACTATACTAAGGGGAGGGGGGCCGAGCTAGCAGGCAGCAAGATTTCTCTGGGACTTGTACAACTTGAGCTGAAGTGAAAATCTGTTTTCCTCCTGAAGACCAACAGACTTATGGAAGGGGACTTGGGCTCTGTAACTTGAATTCCAATACCAGCTTTGCTGGCTATTAGCCACATGCCTGCAACCAGTTCCTAAACCTTTCTGAGTTTCAGTTTCCTCAACAAAGGATTCATGGCGATAAAACACAGCATTGCTGATTCGACTACGGATGGTCCATAGAGTAATGATGGATGGCTTAGGACTTTTCAACTTGACAATGCTGGGAACACAACCCCTCCTCCCCCCACCACACACACCCCCTCCTGCTTCCCACCTTCATTGCAGCATTTAATAACTTACACAATGCAGTTAACACATTATCTTAATGTAAGCTTTGCTCTTGCTGGCTTTGTCCAACTGGAGGCTGATGGAAACTTTCTGAGCACATTTAAGGTAGGCCAAACTGAATTAAGACAATCCACAGGTCAAATGTATTATGTATACTTTTGAGTTCATGGCATTCATACCTTAAACTAGATGGTCAAGGATGCAAGCCTCTCCCTCACAAGCTAGGAAGCAATCTGAATCCCCTGTAACCTAAGCAAGCGTATTGATGTTTGTGTGTTTGCTCTAAGAGCAGACTCAGTCATTGTGATGGAGATGTACGGCCCAACAACCACACAGATTTACTACTAGGCCCTTCACGGAGCAAGCACGTAAGCTCTGTATGTGGCAGGAGCCACATTATCTTGGTTCAGACTTCCAAAGCGCCCCCTGCCTGGCACTGGCCAAGAACAGCTCTTGGAAACATTGCATTCCACTTAATTATTGCTGCACACTAAGTGCCAAGTGCAATCAAGAACACAGACAGGAACCACCTGGACCACACAGACCATGGGGAAAGGAGGATCTTTCTTTTTAAATCTGTCTATTGAACAGGAAGTGTTGCATGGATACTCATTTGCTGCTACAAGCTCAAAAAGTCAGGCCGAGCTTGACTAAAAGAGAATGTGTTAAGGGCATACTAAGCCTCCCTTTCCCATCTTTCCTTGGAGTTTGGGGCCACAACCCATCTTATAAACTCTATGGACATACAGAGCCACAAAGAGGTGTCCCTCAGAATCCATGGGGAGTTGGGTACTGGATCCCACAATACTCATACCCAGCAGTATCCCATCTCTTATATGAAGTGGCATGATGTTTGCTTATGGCCTGAACCTCCTCCTCCTATGCTCCAAATACTCTCTGGATGACTTATATAACGTCGGGGCTGTACGAACAGTTGTTAGATTATATTGGTTAGGTAGTAATAATAATAGAAAAAAAAGCCAAGGTTTAGCAGAGACTGATTTTTTTTTTTGATTTCTATAGCTAGTGCATTCCAAGATATCTGTGAACTCAGCACCACACATCTGTAGATCCCGAGGTCATATCACAATGTCAAAGTTGGACAGGCTCTTCTGCTAAAGGGAATAGGTTAAAATACTAGCACACGTAATGTGATTTTGTAAAACTTTCCTTAAAGCAGATGGCAGGAGTTCAGAGTCCCCAGACAAATCAGATCTTGTGATCAGGGTTTGAGGCACAGTTGTGGCTATACTCAGAGGGCCTGAGAAGGCAGAGGGAGGGGGTTAGAGAGGAGAAAGTGACTTACCCTCCAGGGGACAGAACCGAGCCACCTTCTCTGGCATCAGCAGCCCCAGCTTGTGGCGACAGTAGGTTTCTGCAATCTCCTGGCGGCAGTGCTTGGACTTAGCGCGGGTCAGGGCTGAGATGGCCTCCTTGCCAGAGATGTCACACTTGGGGGGCTGGTCAGACTTGGTTTCGGGGGACCCACCACCACCAGTCTTTCTCACAGGGCTGTGTCTTGAGAGATCCTTCCCTTGGCTACTGTCACCTGTGGCTTTTTCCCGAGGAGGCAGCACCTCGTTGGGGCTTTTCCCCAGGACTGACTGCCCCTGACCTTTGTCCTGGGCATCCAGCTTCCTCTGCAATCGCTCTTTATGCCTGCTTGGGGTCTTCTTGGCCAGCTCTGGCTGGTGCTTCTGCTTCTGGGTCCTGGGGGCGAAATTGCTATTGTCCACATTCTCAAAGTCCTTGGGGACCGAGTTCTCATTGTTGCTGTCGGTCCGCACTTTTTCTTTGGGCCGGTGAGAGAAGTAGCCATCCTGGGGAATTAGAGAAACAGAGAAAATTGTCACTCTGGTACACCACTCTGGTAAGCAGGCTGGCCCCGAGAGGGCAGGGCGACAGGTGTGAAGCCTGAGTCAAGACTGCCATTCTTCCCTTATTGGCTCAGACAATGGAAATACGTCTCCCTGGGCCTTAGTTTCCTACTCTGCTCCCCACAAGACACTAAGGCCTTTCCATGCTCATGGTGACCAGCACAATTACTGCAATTCTCAAAGATCCCCTCATCCATTTCACTGTCTGGGGAAAATTTCCCTTGGGGCTCTTGTTCAAATCCCAGCAGAAGGTGCTGTGATGATATATAGGAGAGCTGAAACCATCAGAATCAAATCATAAAGGAGGCAGCATGGCCCGTGCTGGATGGATACATTGCCTTTACGATAAGCATGTCTATTTCTGTCCATAAGAAAAATTAGGCTTGAACCACAGTCAATCCCATAAGAAGACAGCATGCCTCTTAAAAGTTTTAAACACAGTGCAGTTGGGGCCAAACAAGCCTGGCAGTGAGTTTCAAGAAAGATGCAAACCTGTGATCTTTTACTGACCTTGCTGTCCTGGGTTCAAGTCCACAGCCTTACACATCCCGAGAAATTGCTCTGCCATGGAGCTACGTTCTCTGGCCCTTTTCATTTCATTTTATTTTTTTATTCTGAGACAGAGTCTCACCAGATGAGCCAGAGTGGCTTTGAATTTTCTCTGCAGCCAGTTCCTCTGGTAAATTGTTGATATCAGGCACTGGCAGTGCCATCAGTCCAACATGGCTACAATTAATTCAACCATCTCCTCAAGAGATGCAGTTACCATGGGACCGTGGCCTCCCCCCACCTCAGATGCTGCTCAGCTGCCGTGGGACATTTGTTAAAATACTCCAGTAAGAGAGAAGTAGGATGTTTTCCTTCTAGAATGAATTGTTCACAGACACTTGACACCTACTAGAAAAGCCTGTGTGAGGCACAGTGAAGGAGAATCAGGTACATCTGGAAGCCTGAGAACTCCAACTCCAATTCTGTGCTGTTTTCTATAGTGACCACAGTCACTATGTTCACCTCACCATCCCCATTTATTTTTTCTTTAAAAATTTTATTTTATTGTTGTGGGACTAAAATTCCAAAAGCATTGAAAAAAAATTGAGATCTACCTAATCTTTTTTTTAAAGATAGGATCTCACTGTATAATGTAGCCCTGGCTGGCCTAGAACGTGTTAGGTATGTGCTATGGATGTCTGTTTTATGTGCACATGAATGCAGTACCCTTGGAGGCCAGAAGAGGCCATCAGATTCCCTGGAGCTGGTGCCACAGATGGTTATTATCCTTCTAGTGTGGGTCGTGGGTTCCGAACTCGGGTCCTCTGCAGGAGCAGCCGGCTCTCAGCTGCTGAGCCATCTCTCTGGGCTCTCAACTTTCAACCATGTTGTTGCATATTACAAATTTCTTATCAAAGTCTGTGTAAGCCACATCTACTTTATTTATTTGTCTGCCAGGGTATTAAGGAACTGCTTCACTTTTTCTCTCCCTTCCCTGAATACTCACCCTGTACCCACCCCTCCCCCACAAAAGAAAAACAACAACAAAACAAGAATAATCTAAGAGCAGGACCTGGTGGTTCACGCCTGCAATTCCAGCTCTTAGGTAGAGAAAGGGGAATCATGGAAAATTCAGATCTACCTGGGCTACATAGTGAGTTACAGACAAGCCTAGGTTACACTGTAAGACCCTGACTCAAGAATGACAAAAACACCTCCCCTTTGCCCCTGCCACCTCCAGCTGGCAAAGGGGATGACCCCTTTACTAGCTGCAACTCTTGGGATAGTGGGCCCTGTGCCTCATCGGGGCAGCACAGAGGCGCTGACCCTACTGGAGAGGGCACAGGTGAGCTAGCCCAGGAATGTGAGCATGGGGGACCTGGTCCTGGCCCTCACCTGCCATATGGTGGCATGGGTATGGAAGAGATGACCACCCCTACCCATCAACACTGGAGGCAGGTGGGAGAGCTGGCCCTGAGGTCAGAAGGGTGGGAGAGCTACCCCTGCCTGCCACCAGCGATAACACTTGGGAGAGCAGGCTCTGCACCTCCAGTGGGCAGAGGTGTGAGTGAGCCAGCCCTGAAGTTGTAAGCATGGGAGAGTTGTCCCTGTTACCCATCTGTCATGTGGCAGCATGGGTAGGAGAGAGGTGCCCTCCTCACTCTGCCCATCAATGCCTAAAACAGATGGGAGAGGTGGCCCTGCCTCTCATCAGCTGCAGCACTCTAAAGAGTGGCCTCTACACCATGCCTAGGCAACACAACAGAGCTGACTCTCACAGTGTAGGTGTGGGAGATCCAACCCTGAGGACATGAAAGCTGGAGAACTGGCCCCCGCCCCTTGCTCAGCACTGCAAGGGGTGAACTAGTCAGGGAAATGCAGGAGAACTCACCCTAGTGAGGACAAGGGAGAGCTGGCAGGCTGACCAACCTTGCAACTACCCAGGCTCAAAACCAGGGTTACGAGTTGACCCACCCCAATATCCACCCTATCTGTGATCTGCTAGAGTACATGAAGGGACTGGTCCTGCAGACCCAAAGCTGCAGGATCTCCATGACACAAGGCAACAGCAGAATAACCAAGAGGAGTTCCAGTGAGGGCCCAGCATCGATGGTGTGGCAGAAACCAGAGGCCTCGAATCAAACCAATGACTCTCTGCAATGAACACTTGCAAGTAAAGATAGATGGATAAAAGGGTTTACTGTGTGACTCACTGTGTCACACTACAGCTTCCATGACGAGTTTGATTTTTTCCTTTTCTCTTTTCTCTTCAATTTTATTTTATTTTATTTGTGTGTGGGGGGTGGGTTGCAAAGGCAGAGGGTGGATATGAAGGGGCACAGGGAAATGAATGGGATGGAGATTCTTTCATGATATGAAAGACACAGAGAAGAAAGATAAAGAAAAAAGAATAATAAAAAAGAAGGACAAAGCCAAGCACAAATAAATACCTGAGTATGGTAGCCCACGCCTGGAATCCCAGAACTTTGAAGGTTGGAGCAGGAGGATTCCTGCTGTAATATTAGGCCAGCCTAGCCTGGAGACTGAGTCCCAGAACAGCTTAGACTAAGTGTGAGACCCTGACACAAAACCACAAGATATAGACAAAAATCCTAGCACTGAGAATGGGAAGTGTACCCAAAGTCTCACTCCTAACCAATGTGCTATTTGCAATTGGTACCTGCCTGGAAAGGGTAAACCAGTTTTCTCTAATGGAGTGTCCCTGAGAATATCAACCACACTCCAGAGATGGCCCTATGCCAGCAGTTCTCAACCTGTGGGTCATGACCTCTTTGACAAACCTCTATCTTCAAAATTATTTGCATTATGATTCATAACAGTAACAAAATTACAGTTATGAAGTAGCAACGAAAGTAATTTTATGGTTGGTGTCACCACAACAGGAAGAATTGTATTCAAGGGTCCCAGTGTTAGGAAGGCTGAGAACCGCAGCTATGCCTAGGAGTAGGTGACCATACTTCATGGTTTTTTCTCTGTATGGGCGTGCACTTCTTGCTTCATTTTGTTTTAGTTTTTTTTTCCCTGACTGGTTTTCTTTCTTTCAACTTACCTGTTTTTATTTTTGTTTCATTTTATGTGAGAGGGACAGAGACAGAGACCAAACATGAAGTTACATAGGTATGGAAGTAGGGGCGATCTTGGGGGAGTTGGAGGGGTAAGAATATGATAAACTTTCAATAATAAAGAGAAAGCGAGGCATGCCTGTAATGGACCATGCCTGTAATCTCAGTACTGAAGTAGCAAAAGCAGGAGTATTGCTACACATTAGTCCAGCCAGTCTGGTCAACACAACTAGGTACAGATAAGCCTGAAGTACACAGAAGGACTGTCTCAACAAACAAACAAACAAGCAAACAAGCACACAGACAAACACTTGGGCAGTCTCCTATCAGATCCCTAGAAGATATTCATCACGTGCAGGGCCCCAGATCAGTACTCTCACCCTAAGACTCTAAAGCTCCGGGCCATAGTGAAGCAGAATAGGTCCAACCAAGGAGAAGAGACCAGACACAAGGAGGATCGACAGCCCAGGTAATAGCACAAAGGGACTCAGACCCACTGTGCCTCAGAGTCCTCAGATGTGAGGGCAGTGTTTACCTTGTGGGTATTTTGGTGAGAGTGAATGTGTTGGAAACTTCTGGAAGATTCTTCCTACTCAATCAAAGTAGGAGGAAGAATGAGCAACAGACCCCAACTATGTAACAACTTTCCTAATTAATACTATGCCTGAGGGTTGGAGAGATGGCTCAGCTGTTAAGAAGACAGCTGAGAAATCATGAGGACTGTAGTTCAGATCCCAACACCCACATAACAAGTCAGGCATTCTGCAGACACCTGTAACCCCAGCTCCCAGAAGGAGGAGACAAGAGTATCTTAGGGCTTGCTAACTTCCTGCCTTGCCAAGAAAGCATGAGCCTCAGGTTCAGAGAGAGACCCTGCCTCAAAGGAAATAAGCAAAGAGTGACAGAGAAAAGATACTCAACAGCCTTGCCCAGCCTCTTTGTGAGTGTAGAAGTATATACACTCTCAGCCACACCTTCACACACACACACACACACACACACACACACACACACACACACACTAAATAAATCTCCCATTTTGTATTAATTTGCTCTTTCCCATCTGTCTCCCCTGGTGGACACATAGCTTATGACTTCTCTATTTTGAAAGACCATGTCCCTTTTATTCTTAGCCAATCCAACACTATCACCTTGAATTATTTATGTAAATACAACCCTTTGACTTGTTTTTATTTTAATGTACTTATTATAATGATTGTTCATTCAAACATTTGCGTGCATCTCAGAACTTCAATTAGAAGCTCCTGCCTTGCCTTCCCTCAAAGCTGTTGTTAGAATTCATTTTTATTCCAGAAGAATAATTAAGTGTACTAATGTCCTCCACCCCCATTCAACCTTGGGCTTGTTTAG